GAACAGCAGTAGGCAGGGTGTCGAACTTATCAGGTCATATCATCACTTCCCTTTGGATTTTTGCGATATCAGCCAGCGCTGCATGCACGCGCTATTGATCATTCCATCTGTATAGTGGGATGTTCGATAGGAACGTTTAGTCTACAACTCCAGCACGATAGTTGCACGACATCCAGTGAGACTTTTGCCAGAGTGTACTTCTGCTCGGTAATGGTAAGTGATAAAATGCTATTAGAAGTAGTGGTTTTTAGAGTCCGTAGTGGCTGCTATAGGATTGATTGCATGATCCGATCAATTTTGTTCTCTTTTAAAAGCGTTGACTAGTGGGATACGATGGGAGTCGGAACCTGCTGTTTTGGGTATGGGAGCAAATCGGGGCCTTTGCCCATTGAGTGGTTGTGGTGTTTCGAGTAATTGAATGCCAAACATGACATCACTGGCTTGAGAAACTTGTAGGGACAGTCGGGGCAGCTTGTTATCCTCGACAGCAAGCCTTTTTCTTCGAGGTGTTGCGAGACTTTGAGTAATTTTGCTGGAAATAACTAATTTGTTCAGTTCCTGCACTTTTCTTGTCGGGTGATAGGTTGATGCAAAAGTCTTGAGACTCCTCCACTCTCCCTTCCCTTCCCCCTAATAATACCATCACCACATTTTAGAAAAATTTCAGAGGAACCGCTAGCAACTTTCGAAAAAAAATCCCGAACGTCTCCTCTGTGAACGATCTCGCAATCATCGAGGGATGAGCTCCGAGCAGAAGTCTACCACGAATAGTGCTGCGGTTGCAGTCCTCGTTCCGCTGCATCCTACATCAACATTGCATTCGGAGAGGACTTCGCTAGCCATACGACTGTTGCGCAATTTTTGGTTCTCTTACATTGTAGAGGTGCGACACCCGACGACGATCCTTTTTCGGACGACCACGTGCTAGCGATGATGATCGACTTCCTAGCGAAGTGAAGAGGATGCCGGAAATCAAGAGCTGGGAGTTCGCTTGCTTCTAAAGTGCGATCAGAACAAAGAATGTCGTCTGTCATCCCAGACCTCCACAAAAAAAGGCTACAGGAACGTATGCTCGACGATTCCTCACCTACTGATCGATCCTCTCTGTCAGTCTCGTATCTAAATCGGCCAGTCGCTCCTCCTCACCTTCAATCGAAAGGAGTTTCTGCAAGATATGGAGGTGGGCCATGAGAGCTGAACCTTCCGACAACAACGAGAGAATCGTTGTCTCTTCCTCAGACAGAGAAGATCCGCTCGTGCAGCCTACACCAGAACACCTTCAGGAAGTTGAGTGGGATATCGTCTCATACCCTCCCAGTGTAATCTCGCCCCTTTAAAGAATTCCCTTTTCAGGTACCCCAAGCAGTTCAACATCAAGAGAAAACTCGACACTTCGGATAGCCTCGAAAGTCGGCTAACTTCTTTGACTCCAGGCCTCCTCTTCCTGGGCGAAATGAATAGCCAACTCGCTCCCTGGTTGCATGAGTGACTTAGATAATGGTGGTTCAGTTCAGTGGGAGTTTGCAGCTCATCGAATGGGAATTTGTAGGGGACTATAGCTGCAGGGAATTTGAGACGTGTATCAGAGGGCCTCAAGACTTTTGCATCAACCTAATAGTTTCTTACTTGGAGTAGGCAATATTACAGAAGCTTCACAGTTCGAGCGCTCAGAAATCTTGCGAATCTCATGACTTTCTTTGAATGTCCAGAAATTCATTGATAGCTAATCTGTCTCTATCTTCTGCTTCGAGTATCACATTCTCTCAGATACTTTGTCGAAGAGATTGTGTAATCGCACCAGGTGAGTTTTTCAGTTACTAATAGAAGTTTTGAGGGCAGTCAGAAATTTCTATTTCGGATTTCATAGTACACACAAGTAGTTTATTTATGATGTACTCATGAATTGCCTCGGAATCGCTTTCACATTTTTGAAAAGAGTCTTTTTGCATATTCTTAACGTAGTGGCCAGCCAAAAATTATTTCAACTGGAATATACTCGATATTTTTCTTCGGGTTTTTGATGAATTTGCTTCTAGTGAGGCTTGAGTGGCACTTAAACGATGGCCAAACATGGGTCAGGGTTCACTCAAAGTATCATGAGTAAAACTTTCAAAGCAGAACTTTCTTTACGGGATTTTCGTAAAAGCAGCGTGTAAAGCATGTTGGTATGGTATAAAAATTGACCTTAAGGATTCACTATCCCTCCGCCCAGCAATCCCCTAAGCCGCACAAGCTGTCTACAGAAGTGAATGGGTCGTTCTTTTCCCGGCATAATAACGATTTTGAATAATGATAGCTCGCTTTCGAACTAAAGTTGTCCGTTCTCTCCCTCATCCCATTACGATTCCATTCCTTTCTCAGCAAAATCTATAGGGTTCAGGTTGTAAGTAGGTACCCCTTTGCTACTGACTGAAGGATATGTTCCAGCTTTAGCGACTACATGATGCGCTTTGGTGATCTGGTAAAGTAGTGTATGTGTGAAGGAGTCAGTGCTCGGATTAGTGCTCCATAACACTGGGAAAGAAGAAAAGATTCATATGAATCGTTCATCGAGGAAAAACGCAAGCTACTCTCAGAGAGTTTGGGATAGATCGGAATGACCGGCTGGATCGATTATTCACTACAAAGTGTAAGGTTCGGGTCGTCGAACTGGATGCAAAAAATAAAAGGAGAAGGGAGGGGACAGATTTAGTATAGAATAGAGCCAGTAAGAAGTGCACTCGACACTGGTATAGAGCTGATAGCGAGGTCCAAGAAGGGATCATACTATTTGGGCCTACCATTAATGACCGGGTAGGGTGGTGCTGTCCTTCTTCACTGGCACTTGTCGTTATCTTACCCCGCCATAAGAAGATAGAAGTAATCCATCCCGACTGAGCTCTGACATCGATTTCATTATTGAGACAGAATCGGTTTCGAAAACTTCTGAATACCCCAGAACTTTGTTCTTTCGTGTAGAATCCCAGCTCGTTTTCAAGGCGGATCAGACCGAAGCTATTTGTTGGGTCAAGTCTGAGCTTTTATAAACGGGACCTAGTCTAGGAAGCTCTATATTCTTCAAAGTTGTCCGGGAATCTGTGAGGAATTCGTTTGAGGGCCGCTTCTTCTAACTACTCTGTCTTTCATAATCATCTTTATTGGGATTCTTCGTTATCTGCTCTGCTAAGGAATTGCAAGCCGTCTTATCCAGCCCCGAGGCAAGTGCGCCTTCCTATTGTCAGCTTTATCGCAATATTCCCTTGTTTGGGACCGATGGATTCGTACTTGAGGACTCGGATTTTCTGAAAACTTCAGCACAGCGCTCCGTCCGCGACCGCGGATTTTTTTTTGTTGTCTCCTCTGGTTTAATCAATGGCTGCTCTGACACTGGTCGTCCTATCGACCGATGGATCCGCCTCAGCTGATTGTCGACGTCACAGCAAGTGTGGCAAAAAATTATGTCGGAGTTCCTGATTCCCNAAGCTCTATATTCTTCAAAGTTGTCCGGGAATCTGTGAAACTCGTTTGAGGACCGCTTCTTCCAACTACTCTGTCTTTTATAATCATCTTTATTGGGATTTTTCGTTATCT